CTCCCTCAAAACCCCCCCCCCCCCCCATTAATACATTAATAACTATAGTAGGTGACAGAGGTTGTCATCCTCTGCACAGTGGCACCTTTAGAGTAGAATAATTGTTTTACTAATAATACAATTATTTGTTGATAGAGTATCAAAGCTGTATGGCGGCAAGAGGAGATAGAGTGTCTCGTCTCAAAAAACACCCTGTGCTCTACTGGAGTAAACATTGTTTAACACAGCACAGGCTTACGGGCTCACACACCCTTATAAGGTGTTGAGTATCCCTACAGAGTACAGAGATTAGGGTGCAGTTTGAGACACAATTAGAGATACAGAGGATGTAAGCACTGGTAGTGGATGGATATGGCATGCATGGTTTGAAAGGTCAATGCTGACATGACTCATGGATGGCAGTTCTTAACGTTGACCCCTGACAGATCTTTAGGATCTTAGGGGCCCCTGATGTGCTGAGCTACATACTACAGCTGAGTCACTAAACTGCTGGAATCCTATGCTGGAAAAAGTATGTAGAGCTACGAAGCTAAAGCTAACCTGAAGGCCATGTAGTGGACATTTTGAATAATATGTGGCACCAAGTAAAAATAATAATAATTCCACTAATATATGTTTGATCCTTAAGCTAACTCGAATACTTCTTAGTTAAACTTGTTGTTCTATCTCAGTTTAAGGCAATATTCATTTCTAATTATTCAGGAAGTAACCAGCCTAAAGCAAACGGCTAACCTGTAGCTAACGTGGAGTAATGAGCCAAAGAGTACACTTGTTGTTTTATGTTTTTATCTACCTCTGCTTCTGTTTTGCACGAGCATTTGTAGTTAGCTATTCAGTTGGGTTTAAAACAGTGGTTCCTGTGCAAATGTATGTTATCATTCCTTCCCATACTTTCACATAGCATCCTCAAAACGATGTCTCCCTAGTGCTGAGCATAAAAAGCCCTTGTGTGCTCCTGTCCTTTAAAAATTAAAAGCCCTTGCTGAGAGAAAAGCAGTTTTTCCTCTGTCACAGCCCATGACAACATCTGATGCCGTAGTTAGCTTGCAAAATGAATATTTACATGTAAAGGACAGTAACAGTCCCTTTAAGTTCCCTTTATGGTGTAAAAGACAGGAGATACAACAGCAGCTCATAAATTAAACATCTTTTATTGTCAGGGTAATAACTGTCAAAGTCATGGTATGACAGCATCAACTTGGTTGTTTCATATCTAGTTTATACAAAACAGTGCAGTGGTGGCTCAGGGACATGAGGGGAACAAAAATGCTTTTTCCTCCCTCTTTGAGTTTCACACTTACTTGTTACTCAGTCCAAGAAAAGGTCTGAGAAAAAGGCTGTGAACATTTACGCTACTGGAGCTACAAGTTCGCTACCCATGGCTGCTTCCTGCAGCAGGGTTTCTTTCACTCACTTTCCTGTGTTTTTGTTTTATGGCTATTTTGCCTGTTTCTCACTCAGTCACAACGCCTCCCCTTGTGTGCGCATGTACATGTTGATGCAGATGTTTTTCAGTGACTCATTCCACTTCCTGAACTCAAGACAACACTATAATGCTGCTAAGTATGCCTTGTGGGGTCTACGTATGTGTTGCAGCAGGGTAGGAGATTTACCAATTAATCGTTCGCCAACAGCTACACTGAACAGAGGTAGCAAGAGATTACTAATTGCTGGGACTTCCAGTGAAGAGCTGACCGTGTGCAAATAACAGCTACTTATACAGTATATGATATAACCATGCCTGCACTGTAAATGAGTAGTAATACTGCAAAAAAGTGTAGTTAGGTTTATGAAACAACTGTTCAAATATATGTTAATGAGGAAGTGATCGGTTCCCAATAAAACGGCACAGAAACAACATTTAGCATATCTGTTCATTCAGATTTCATCCCAGGACCTCACTTCACTGGCATCAACTAACACATTTTATCTTTCGAAGACACTGCAGATTTGGAAGGTTATACATTTGAAAGTGAGACTGAGCACATCTCAGCATGTGCCAAGGATGTCAGTGCGCTAATGTTTTGTTCCAAATCTAATCTAGACTAAACACTATATGTGAAAATACTTTAGTCTGGAGTTTGACGTTTGTTGCTTTTTTACCCATCCATGCCGTTTTTTCATGTGTGTATGTATGAAAAAGCAAGAGAGAGAGAGAGAGATAAGTGGAAGTGTATTGATGTGTCTCTAGAATCTGTTACAGTAAAAGCTGAACAGGTATTTGAAATATAATTGGACCGTGACCGTCTGTGCATGTCGCGGCCTTGAGATCAAGATGTGTTCAGGCTTGTGTTTGTGCATACTGTGTATGTGCACATGGAAGGGAAATAAAAAAGGACAGCTGAATGAATGGAGCACAGATCCTCTTGAGTAATGCAGGTCCATCTACATATTTATCTGTATATTCAAGAGACCCTGCACTGAAGAAGAGAGATGAGTTCTTTAGACTAAGGTGACCAGTTTATTTCTGTGGCTGAAACCCCGATAATTGTTCTGGCAAGTAATGATGTCTATATTAAATTAATCTGAAAGATATTCACCAAGAGGTAGTGGGCAATAAAAAAAAAATCCATCATGATTTGGCTCTGCCTTAAAATATATTCACAGCTCGTCGGTCGTCTATCCTCGGTACCAACAACCTCCAGAAAACTAGTCTACGAGCAACACCAGTGGAAGACAGGACCTTAATCTAGTCGAGTGTCCCTCAGAGGAGAGGAAAGAGAGAAGATGTGCAGAAGGTGGCAGTGAGGTGAGTAATGGGGCTACACAGAAAAACATGGAAGGTGAAAGGTGATACGTGAAGGCAGACAGACAAATATCTGATCATCTGTTTAAGTGAAATAATAAATTAAGAGAAGATTTGTGACTGGCAGGAGTAAAGGGAAGCACCAATGATCTAATGTTACCATCTAAAAAGCTATTCATTAGTCTTGCTGAGTCACAGTCACACTGTGTCCATTTCCCTTCTATGTAGGTTTAACAAATGACCTGGGATAAATGTAACCAGGACTGAGCTCAATCCAGTTTCAGTTCAGTCACTTAAGAAATCAGTTTTTCCACAATGAAATAATGAGTCAGTATGAAGGACAGCTAAATATACACAATATGTATAGAAAAAAATAGTGCCACAAATGTGCTACCATAAATGGACAAACTGAATCTGGCTGAACTGAAAATGAATCAGTCCCTATCCTGAGGTGTTAATGTCCTTACTCGTACGTGGTATCATAATCAGAGAGACAACTTGGAGCTCTAAGGCTGTTTTGTGCACTGATCCAACTTTGCTGCTCTCCAAAAGGTCCAGAGGACAGAGGTCAAAAGGTCAAAGATCAGACTTCTCACCTCCTTCCTCTTTTCCTGTAATTCACATTATCTCTACTTTAAGGAGAAAATACTAAACACTTACTTTCAAAATTTTTGTTAAGGTCAACCCCGTTACCCACTTGTAAAAGCCAAAAAGTCTATTTATGAGGATACAGGTCATGAACTTAAATTGAATGGGTTACAGGACTACAGTGATGTGTGGTAGAGTGGAGCTGGACCCTGCTCCACACAACACATCTCTTACAGGGCTCAGGATTCACAGTTCAAAGGTTAAAAGTTTATTAAACCCCTTCCCCCCCCATTACCCTGTGTGTTCCCTGCTTTTGCTCGCACTCCCACTGTTTCTCATCATCACTCTCTGATATTCTGATTGGACATTATCTGCAGCCAGCACCTCTCAGACAGGAGTGGTCCTGCGGTTGGGGTCCTTGCTATAGTCTTTAGTGAGCGTGCTGCTCTGGAGGAACTCCCTCTCTGAGTTGAGCAGCCCGCCAATGCCACCACCTGGTTTGGTGCCAACACTGCCTGCGTCGCGTGGGCTCAGCGTATACATGGGCATCTCAGAGGCAGCAGGCCCTGTGTAGCCGCCTTTCCCCAGGGGTGAGGTATCGCGGCTGGGGGCCTCGGACGAACGCACACTGGAGCGGCGCCGGAAGCGGTAGCGATAGGAGGGGATGTGGCTGAAGGCAGATTTCTTGATGAGCTCAGTGCGGGACTTGGCTCGTAGCTTGCGGTGCTTCTCAATGAACATGTGCACAGCCAGAACACCCACCATTTCAGCCATGATGAAGGAGAGGGCACCAAAGTAGAAGGACCAGCCATAGGAGTAGGACTTCTTGCTCTCACTCTGGCCAGGGTCGCCCGAATTAGCTGAGATGTAGACAATAATTCCAATTATGTTACTGAGGCCTGGAAGAGAAAGGAAAAAATAATAGGAGATGGAAATAGATAATGTGTGCAACACTAAATCCTCACCGAACAATACTAAGAGTCTTCAGCCAAGCTAGCTTCTCTGTTTTGGCATAGTGGTGGTTTTAGCCAAATGCTAACGTAAGCATGTGAAAACGTTCACAATGACAAAGCCTGCATGTTTATTTTTGGCAAGTATATTGCTAATCATGTTCACCATCATAGTGTATCCTATTAGCATGCTGACATTTGCTAATTAGCGCTTCAAATCAACATCTACAGAGCCACACTGCTAGCATAGCAAAAACAATCAAATTAAATATCCTAACACAAAGAGGCAGTGGCAGATTCATGATTTCAAAAGGGAATAAACATTTGAGGAAAGCAAAAATCTCAACAAAAATTTGATAAAATGTGTCATAAAAGAGCAGTGAGAGGGAAAAAGCCAAAGGAAACAAACAAAATTAAAGAGAGGGAGCAACGCTCGATGGAAACATTGGAGAGAGTCATTGCAGCACAGCTGGGCTCTCTTATTCCATATCATTAGTCCAGAATACAGTGCTCATGCAGTGTGGTGGAATGCACAGAATAGGGGCAATTAGCCAGCTGTAATTAACCAGAATCAGTCCCACACTACTGTGGTAAATAATTACCAATTTGGCTTCATAAATTCACTACAAAACCAAATGGGACCATACAGAAATTACAGCCCTTTGTGTCAGGGTCTAGAGCACAAGTGTGTGTGTGTTTCTGGGAATGTAACTATCAGCATCCATGTGGCAGATTATGTGTATGCATGTATGTTTACACCCTCACAGCCTCACAATGGCACCATGGTGTTTTTGCTGATTGATTAATCCGCTGCTGAGTTCACTACGATTCCTCACACGGGCTCTTCTGTGTGCTTTAGATGCCTAACGGGCTCCTTCAACTAATCTCTGTGGGCTGCATGTCTTCTGTTTAAAGTGGCTCCACAGTTACAGAACTACAGTACACACACTCACACACATACAGCACACCCACATAGGCCCTCGGTGCTCCTCCGGTCAAATCAGGGTTTTTTTTAAGTCGTTCGCCTGGTGCTGCCGCTAAGACGGCTGCTATATTGTGTTTAACAATGTCATCATAGCGATGACCATCAGCTTGGTTCACCTTATGCACTTCTCTCACAAACCAAACAAATGTAATGTCAGATCTACCAAACAAGATCCAACTGAGCTCAAAATATTTTCTTTCTAAAAAAGATTTGATCATTTTAAACAAAAAAAATTATATATAAAAAAAACAATTATTCAACAAAACATTCTTTTTTGTTTTCATAACTTTGAGGGACCCTGAAGAAACACCACATCTTTTAGATACATACATTTCAGGGGAAACGACATTTTAACAGATATGTTTCTTTTAAAAAATCATTTTATTCCAAAAACCTGTAACAAAAACAAATGAACAAACAAAAACCAGTGTCAGCTGGGACTGGTTAACATGATGAGCAATATGTGGACATTCCTCCTAAAAAGAACCTGATGACAGCTCTACAGTCAGGTCAGTGAGGTAAGCTCTACGCAGTGGTGTGTATGTGGTGCACTGGTAACAACTAAATGATGACGGTGGATTTTAGGAAGAAGACACTGGTCCACAGACACACACACACTAACCTGCGGAAACAAAGAAGATTCCCGCACTGAGGATGACATTGTGTCGGGTCCGGTAAAACTCACTGGCAGCTACACAGAGCCCCCCCAGGAACAGCAGACCCACACTCATGATGGGGAAGATACTGGAGGCACGCACAGCACCTGTACAAACACACACACACACACAAAGAGTGGAAACCTAAGCTGCAGAATGAAAATGAGGATAGTATACTGTATGTTGAAAGAGGGAACTTTCTGGTATATTCTCAGAGTTATCAGACTTCAGGGTAGATGGTCTGATTCAGCTGATTCAGGTGGTTTGATCCCTCATGATTTATGTTAATTCTGGGGACAAATACCGAATATATTAAAACATGCATCTTCAGTTGTTATTGTGGGTATGAGTATAGCCTCCAGATTTATTTCAAGATATTGGAAAATACAGTAGATAGAATTTCAGTTTTTTTTCAAAACTGGGTAAATGAGATTTTAGAGAAACCATCCTTGTGAATCTGCTCAGTAGTTTGGAAAACGTGATTTTCTTTTTTTGTCTTTTTTATTGAAACAAAGTAACACATTAACAAAACAGGACCGAACATGGGAGACAAGACAACAGTTACATGACATTACAAAAGGATATAGAGTGTTTAACGAGGTTGTAGTGTGTGAAGTGTGGGTATTTCCAACTTATTCAGTCTATGAAACACAAGAAAGGGAAAAGGAAGGGAAGTAAATAAATAAATTACCAATAATAATGATGATAACAGTTCTACTAATAAAATCAACTTATAACATTTTAGGGGTTTGTGGGAATGTGCGTGGCCTCAGCCCCAGGTGTTTGGTTCAAGTTGAAATGTGATAGATAGAGAAATGAGGAGTGGGTTTTTATATTTAATTGGTAGGTGGTCGATTTTTATGATATTACAGAGTAAGCAAAGTGATGGAGAAGGAGGGATTCTACAGCCCAAGATGGTGGAGAGTTTCTCTGTCACTGCTGTCCAGAGGGAATGAACTGGTTGGCAGGTCCAAGTAGCATGAAAGTAACTGTCGGTGCAACCTAGAGTGCATTGTGAGCAGACGTCTGTGTCGGTAAAACCCATTTTGAACATTTTACTTTCTGTAATCTGGGTCCTGTAAATGGTCTTGTATTGTATAAGTTGTAAGTTTACATTGCTGGTCACAGAAAAGATATTATCGAACATTTCTGTCCAGAAGTCGGAGCTGAGGGGGAGAGTTAAATCATTTTCCCATTTGAGTTTTGGTATTGTTATTGTTGAGTCTGTATTTGACATGAGTTTATATAGCTTGGATATTATTTTCTTGGAGGATGTAATTTTCATAATTTTTTCAATTAATTTGGAGGGTTGTAGTTGGGGGAAAAAGTAAATAAGATTTTAGAAAAATCATCCTTGTGAATCTGCTTAGTATTTTTGAAAACATGATTTCCAAATGGGCCCTTTAACAAATACAGAAAGAGACACAACCAGAACTTCCCGAAAATGTTTTGTGTTGTTGTTGACTGGGTCTCTCAGTTTTGTATGTACTCCTTATTTTTATTTATTAACTTCTTTATTTTTCATTTCCTACACATGTAATAATATTTCCTGTCACCTTGAATTATTGTACAGATTGATTACTTGCCAACTTTTCCCTTAAAATCAAGCCGCTGCTCACTGTAGGATGAACAGATTCATTGTGAAACATAGCTATACTGTAATTAACCAACAAAATAAAACACTGTCAGCATCTCCACTGCAGCAGTTTCCATTTCATAGCAAATCTGCTGGTTTGCTTTATGGCACCATTCAGGAAGAACACATATCTCAAATTAGGGTCAGTGGAAAAATATTTTCTTCAATATTTTAGGAAAGCAAAGGGAGAGAGAGAGAGAGAGAGAGAGAGAGAGAGAGAGAGAGAAGCCACACACACCCCCAGACAGTATATGGTGAACATAATGATATAATTTGACATCATACATTTCTGGATCGCCTGTACGTTAGAGGACAAATTAATAAACTGCATGTGACACTGCGTATTTAACATTCCTATACATTCCCTGATTCCCTCAAATGCTCTTAAAGCTGAAAGTAAGTGCTTTAAGGTCACGGTCACTGTTTCATGTGAAATCCAAACTGCTGGAGGGTAGAGCTAAAACAATGAAAAATGCATCATGACACGTGCACACACAAACACCTGGGCCAATGCGTTGCTACATGCTTGACTGAACATGTAACCCAGAACATGTGAACGCATTCAGAGGGTTTGTGAGAGATGGACACGACCAGAGACTGATGGAGCGTCACACTGACACATATGTGAGGCAACACAGTGAATATGGATTAGGAGCAAAGTAGTGACGTGATACCAGAGCCTATTGAAGGATATTTACAGACAGCTTTTCACACAGAACAGAGCTGTGTGGTATTTTTAGATACTGGTACTGTATACTAAATGTAAATCTGTTTGTCTTATCACATTCCAAAACACTTCCAGCATGACTGACAGCTGTAGTGACCGGTGGCATTGTGTGGCCGAAGGCACAGAGGGCCCCCCTCCGTGGCCCACGCCCCCGGGCTGTGTGAAATGCCGGTCACTAGGTCCCCGCTCCCCATTGGCTGGCCACGTCTGAGCCCTGTGATCTAATTGGTCGCCCAGGGGGACGTTACTCTGTGTTCAGTGGAGCGGCGAAAAAGAAGCACAGGTTCCATTTTCTGTTTTTGCTGTTGCTGTTTTCTCTCTCTGTGTCCACTCTATGTTTACTGTGGGTAGAAACGCACAAAGAGCCCCCTCCACTCTGTTTTCCAGTAAACTGCCATCTCTCTGTCTTTGTGACTGCATCCCTCTTTTCTCATTTTCTCATCGTGGCAACGTTTTTATCCTATTGTTAGGTATTTTTTAGTCAGAGAGATATTGGTTAGATACTTGTTGTATCAGAAATGTCTTTAGTGTAGACAGGATGTCCAGCTCAGGCTGTTAAATGCTTACTCATTTCCATGACTTCCTCCAGGTTGTTTATGTTCAAGGATAACTAGATAGAAAGTGGCTACTGTATGATATGTTCAGCCGTAATCTTAATCATAATATCTTCCTAGGCTTAATATCCGGACATGTCCCTGAATGTCCTGTATGTTCTTAGATACACACCACTTAATCAACACTCACACACATTGATTCTCTCCATGTTTTGACTACTGCTATGGTCAGCTGTAAAGCTGGCATATCAGGGGACGCCACGGTTTGACGTGCCTGTGTAGAATGGGGTTAGCCCAAACCAGATATAATGTACAGGCCTGGTGGGTTCGGGGTCTTTCATTCTTCATCTGCCTGCGCGCAGTATTGGAGGTGGAAGATACCTGGACGTGTAATGAAATGTAAATGTAAAAATTTCATTATGTACCTCATACTGTTCCCTTGTAGTTCTATATAAAACGTGTTGAGTGCAAGTCTGGGGAAATAAATACAGTATAAAATAAATACAAATCCAATCTTTATACTCTGTTTATGAACCAACAAATTTACTGTTTATTAAATTACATGCCCCAAAATTTGGAGACTAAAATGGCTCAAATTACATATAGAGTTAGAATCTGTATCGAAAGGTTGTTTAAAGTGAGAGAAACTGTCTAGGACATGTTGAATAAAAGTAATTGTGAGGACCAATAAAACAAAGGTGTGAATTTGAAGTGAAATGTGTATCGTTAAAAAGTTGAGTACTGTAATAAGCTGTAGCTTCAGCCCACACCTTTTCTGGAAGGCAGAAATCTTTATCTTGTGTCATTATTAACTGTTATTTGAGAATCTGTATATTTTCTCCTTTGTATTAGTTTCTTACCTTATTTTGTCTGCTGAAATAAATTTCCAAATTAAAAGTGAATATTACCATGCGAGAGTAGGAACGTGATTAGTTGAAGTTCATAGAAACTTACGGAGGAGGTATTCAGCAGCATCTGCGTCATAATCAGCATCCTCAGGAAAGTGATCGATCTTCTTACAAACTCCTCTGAATGTTCCTGCAGAGAAGAAACAGATCAGTTGAACTGAATTCAGACGTTTATTGTCTCACAAAAGGAAATTCTTAACTGAAATAATGTTGTACTTAAGAACGTGACACACTGGGTTTCCATACCCCATGCTAATTTGAATATTATAAATGATGCACACAGGTTGTTGTTTGAGAAATCCTCACTGGAAGTCCAGATCAGTATGTACTGTATCTTCAAATGTATTTTTAAAGTACTTCAGATCTCTCCAAGTTGTTTTCTGAGCAGTAACCCAAGATTAAAAACCTGGAAATGGACAAAACCAGTTATGGAATTACTCTTATGGGAAGTCACAGGCATCCCGTTCACTGTGTTATTGTTATATGTCTGGAATAAAACCACTGTCAGCGAGCATCAGCTAAATGTCTACAATACAGAGGTCACCAGCTGTGTTGGCTGTGCAGCAGAAGCTGAAGCACAGTTAGAGTTAGCACCAGGTTAAGGGTGCAACTCTATTACTGAATTAATCATCCATCGTTCAGTCATGGGTGTTTGTATCGTCTGTCAGTCACTGATCAGTGACCTTCTTGGATGACTGTATGGTATCAAATCACATTTCTGGACAGTACACGTACACATTCTGCCTGCAAACATGAACATACTGAAAAGCAGAAAACCCAGCAGAAACAGAGAGAGAGAGAGCGAGAAATAAGAGACGATGCAGGGCAGAGCTGTAGGCTTCGGGCTATGAACAGGGAACACTAATGAAAAGCCTTATCGCACCCTGCACACACACGTTTGTAGTTATCTTTATGCTGATGCTCACTGACATAAGCATTCCCTAGCCTTTACCATCACAACTAAATGTGTAACTCCAGCCCTTATCACACCTCTGACCTAAACCCCTTTAGCCAAGTCTTAACCCTTAAACAACCCTTTGAAAAGGTGTGAGGAATGGGCCAACGTGCCCTCATTCCCACCGCATAGAAATCCAACCGGTCTTCACAATGTATGGCAAAAGTGCACACGAACACACAAATTACCACTTTGAATACAAAAACAGCAAGTGTACACACACATACACACATCAACCAAGCGCTCTAAACTGATACATGAACACTATCAATCATGCACGTAAAGAAAAACCATCTGTTTATGTCAGTTTGTGTGTGCGCATTTGTGTTGTACTGACTAGGATGCAGTGTGCTGTGTGTCAAGCAGCAAGTGACTCATCCTCCTTTGTGCAAGTCTTCCTCAAACACACACACAGACACACATCTCTCAGCATCCCATCAGCGCATGTATGCTTCTAAGTGTGAGTATGAAGCCACTCTACTGTGAGTGTTTGTGCGCGTGTACACTGCGTGCAGCTTCATTCAGTCCCATTCACACATGGTCAGCACCACAGGGGGGTGAGGGAGAGAGTTGGGAGGGAGGGAGAAAAAGAGAGATGAAGGAGGAAGGAGGATGAAAGGAGGAAATACTGGTTGAAAGGGGTTTGGTGGTAAAATGGCATGAGGGAATTAGAGAGAAGCGCGAGTACAGAGGCTGAACAAAATGAACGACTCAATCTAATTGCCTTTTTGCATATGAAGAGGTTCCTTCCAGTACTCACACTCAGAAAATCACTCATAAATTGATTCATCCAGCTCATGCACTCGGAGACAGTAACTAAACTCTGACTCAGATTCTGAATAACAAAAAAGATGTTTGCGTAGTCTTTGATATCTAAAGTTAATAAAGTCATATATTGTCAGATACATAGTGCCACTGATTGACAAGAAATTCCTGGACACTATAATCCGCATGGCTTCATGCTTTCATTTACAATTTGCTGCTTTTTTGGGGGGGGGGGTTGAAAAATCAGCCACTCAGGATCACAAAGGAAAACTACAAGAGAAAATCATTTCTAAAAATCAATTATTTTCACTAAACATCTACTCAGGGTTTACAAATGCCTGCTCTGGCTTCCATTTAACATAAATGACCTTTGTCTACTGACTCTGTTCACTAATGAAAGAAAGAATTTCCCCCTTTTCATAAGATTGGCATTAATTATTGGTCAACAAACCTCTCAAAAAGACCAAAATCAACAACACTAGTATTTTGTGTGAAAAGGACTCAACTGCAAATTTAGTTCAGCACTTTAATAAGAACTCAAGGCAAGAACAAGAGCTTACAACTAATGCAAATAAATATACAAGTAAACATAGACAACTTCATGAAACACACAGGATCATGCAGAGAGACTTAAAGCTTGACTTCATGAGACACACAGGTCAATTAATGACTTGACTTCATAAAATATACAGGGAGCAGAAAGCTGACCAGATCCAGAAATAAGCAATACTCCACACAAAACAATAAACAGTTCAAAGGGGAGCGGGTGGAGACGAGGACCAGGAAACGGCTCATAAAAGTAAATAGGAAGGTAAATGATGAACCGCTGGAAAGTCAGGGACGTGAGTAGACGAGAACCCGGCAAAGAGTGAATGTTGGTTGTTGACTTAAACACAGTCTGGGTGGTTACACAGATGGAAAGCAGGGGAGTGAGGGTGGAGCAGGGAGTAAGTTCAGGAAACCGGCACAAAGGCAAAGGGCCGGGTTCAGAACAGCAGGGAAAATAAGGGGGCAAAGTCTGAGACCAAGACAAATGTGTTACCATGGGTAAATCCCAATTCCCTTATTTGCATACATGTTTACCTCACTTGTGTCTTTTCCTTGTGTTTTAGTCTTGTCCACTTAAGATGTGAGGAAAAGATGCAAGGAAAAAAGACTCAAGGAAACACATCTAAGAAACATGAGACATCCTTTCCTTCAGTCCTTCATCTGAAGCCTCCAATCACCAACAGATTTCTAATAAAGAGGTGTATCAATCTGTAAAAACCTCTGTGAGGGGTTCTCTTGTGTCCCCACCCATGGCTCCTCCAGCAGCCTCCTCAGAGCAGCAACAAAAGCTTTAGGATGTCCTTGATCCTCACTACATGATGGAAACAACTTCAAGCGAGGAGCCAGGATTGAGGAACAAGGAACAATCAAAAAAAGGAAATTGGGATTTACCCCCCGTCTCATCATACTTTCCCACTCCCACTGTTTGTGGCACTCAGCCCCAAGAAAAGCACAGGTCTGTGACATTTTGTGCAAATGCTATACAAATAGGAAGAACAGTGCATTTGTTGGAGACTGCTTTCAGATCATTGCATGTTTCCTCCTCATGAATATTTCCAACAGCAGACTGGCATATGTCAGTGCCCTTGCACATCATAAATAAGGAACATGTCACCCAGCCCAGTGGTGTTGAACAACAGCAGAGGAATTCAACAATATTAGGCTTTATATGCAATACTTATTAGTGGGGTCAGTTTACTGTTGGTTTTGGTCTTTTTATGGAATTTACTGACAATAAGAAAAGTAAAGAACACTTCTCTCTTTATCGTCTAATGTGGTCTGGATTAATTGGATGATAAAAGTTGCAGTGGAGTCACCAAAAGTAATTGTATTAACCCTTTCCTGCTGGGCGCGCCAAGGTGTAAAGCATCATCATTCAGAGTTCTGCCTTGTGTCTGTCAGCCAGTAAATTCATTAAACCGCCTGCCTTTTAAATAGGTGGACTTGTATTGAACTCTTCTGATGTATGGAGCACCAAGCATCCTGATGCAATGAAATACCACTGAAGAGATTCTTTGTGTGTGTGCGTGTGTGTGTGTGTGTGTGTGTGTGTGTGTGTGCACATCTCTTCAGTGGTATTTCATTGCACCAAGCATCCTGATGCAATGAAATACCACTGAAGAGATGCACACACACACACACACACAAAGAATGGGGAGGAGAGAACAGAGATCTGTGGCTGCTTTTGTTTCTCTCAGTGGCAGAGAATCTAAGTCACAACTGAATAAGACACACACACACACACACACACACACACCCAGTGGGAGCATCTATCAGAAGACATTTGCCTCACAAAGGTCAATGTGGCCTGAGGGCAGCTGCAACCATGGCCACAGCAAAGAATTATGGGACACAGTGAGAGCCTAGTGTGTCCATGATTGTCCGCCCACGTGCATCTGTATGTTTAATCTCATTTGCTGTGTGGTATAGTTTGTCCCACTGGTTCTTCTGTGCTGCTGCTGTAGCTTTTAAATATTTATATATATATATATATATATATACACACAAACACGCATGCATGCACATACACACATGACAACCATTTAACACGCTGATCTTGTGATTAGGTTCAGAGCATATTTAGAAAAGAATATAATCCTGAACAGGCCTGTAACATTTGAATACAGGCTTCACCGAACACACAACATCCAGAGACCAGTGTTTCACTGCCACAGCGCCATAACTGAAACCAGCAGCGCTCCATGTCTGAAAGGCTTCTTAAGACAGAGGCAGAGCTGCACACACACACAAACAGACATATTTTACAATGTATGAAAAGAGCGAGTCCAAGGGCTAAAAGACGAGCAGTAGAGGACAAACCCTTTCCATGTCACTGATGCCTGACTAAGTGTTGGCTGTTCTTAAGAGCAGAGCTAAAACCGTGCTTTTATTCTTTAGCTTCTGCACCTCTTATTGCTCCGTTAATGCCTTTCATCCATCTTTCCATGTATTTTATTTAGCTTAACTTAGTGAGGCCTTTCTTGCCGCATTTATTTCCATACATTAATCTTCTTAACTGTTTAAACTGTATTTAGAGCTGTTTTTAAAAATCCAAGCCAGCTGTTATGATAATACTTACATTTGCTGCATCTCTTTTTGTTGTATTGATCCTATATTGTATGTGTTATAATAAAATAACATCATCACATAGATGGTGGATCATTTTTGCCTGTTCTTCCTCAAATCCACCATCAGTCTAGTCCCTCCCATAAACCAGGTCTAGTGCAACATGCATGCTAAACAGTGAAATGATCCCCGCCTCAAAACAAGGTTAAAAAGGAGACAAACACAAACAACACGTTGTCCAGACTTCCCTGCGATTATGACAAGCTGGTCATGAGATGCCAGCTGTTTGTCCTTGATCTCTCCGACACACCACACATGCTGTAAGTAGAACCGGGTCACGGGGGAAGCACAGGCAGACTGCAATCATTCACCCTAAATTGCAAGAGAAATTAAATAACAATAATCAACCAAGGTTGCTTTAAGCAAAGATTCAAGTTAGCATAATTTATTCAGCCTGATTATAATCTATCCAAGCCTTGTCCCCAAATGTCAACCTCATGGTAGTGCTAGAGAAAAGGTCAAGAGATCATCAGAGTCATTAGCGTACGTCATGAATTAATAACTCTTCTCGACATATTTTAGTCTGCGGCCAAAGAGGTGGACTGAGTGACCTTAGTCTCCGGTGTAACTACCTGATCTGACCTTAGTCTGTACGATTAACCAGCCATCCCAGTCTCCTCCTTACAAAGGTTTCCTGCATTATATCAACATCATGTTGCTTCATTCTTTGTTTCTGAGAGACCAACAGATATTTATAGAGCCACCAGACCATAAAACCTACACACAGGCTGTTTTAGGCCTTTGAGTAAATGACCACTGGTGCAGACTTTCTGGTGAGGCCAGCCTCACTCCCAGGTGAGCTGTCTCTAATTGGATGGTGTGTAGTCCTGAAGCTGCATATCAGTGACCTGCCTCAGACCTGGAACATGCACACACAGCCACATGCACTGAGAACACAAAAGATTTTATCAACTATAAAACAGAAGAGGAGGGAGAGAGCAAGGGAGAGGAAAGAAAGTTGAAAAGCAGAGCAAATTGGACTTCTTGTTTCCTCAGAGTGCCTCTGACAGCTCACTGTGGGTGACTGTGCCGCTTCCTCTCTCCCCCTCTCTGCCGCTGCCTCTCTCACTCCCTGATTACCTCTTCTCAGGCAAAGGGGAGAGAAGACAAGGGAGAGAGCGAGAGAGAGGGAGACAGAGGAAGAGGCTGGTTTCCACAGTGATGCCTGATGAAAGAGAACGAGACAGGTTCTGCTTGGGTGCACACCTCTCCTCTTTCTCTCTTTGTTCCCACTTTTCTCTGTGTGTTCTTCCTCCAATCCACCCGTGTTCACTTCCTCTCTCGTTCTCCAAAACATTTCTCAGTTCCTGTTTCATATCTTCATGTGACCCTTCCTGTACTCTACTCTCATTTCCAAAACACCCATTCATCCCTTTCTAATCTCCTCGTCATCATCGCTCGTCTCTTCTCACTTTTATGCATACTGGTTTCCAGCTTCCTTCTACAAGACACCGCCAAAAATATGAGGACACAAAAGTTATTCCAAAACTGTGGACATTAATAAGTTATCATAACAGCTTTCACTCTTGTGGAGGGGCAAATCAAAAACTTTTCAAAATAAAAGTAAAAATATGTTGCACAGTTGTGCATGTGGGCATCTACATCGATCTTGCCACACCTCATCTCTTGTCCTCCTGACCCCTTCATCCCTCTTTTCTTGTCTCTTGTCTTCAGATCGTTTTTAAGCCAGACACGGTGAAACACCCCACATATTTAATTAATGCCTATCTACCTTTGCAGTGACCTCCTTCTTCACTGTCCTTCATTCCTACCCCAACTTCCCTCTTCTTCCTCTCTATTATCAGGTCAAACACTCCCCAGATATTCACCTTAAACTGAGGCCATGCACAGCTCATCCATCTCTTTCCACCCACCACCCCTCTCCAACTCTCTCCCCTGCTTCATTCATGCACATTCTGCTCTCTCTTCATTCATGCTCGATCCTCTAGTTCCCCCCATCTGTGCTTTGCTCTTCATTTCCTGGCTTTCTCATACTCATTCATCACAGGAGGAAACAAACACCTCAGTACACCTGCAGAGACACAAACGTTCACTCTAGCTAAGAAACCTGAACTTGACCACACACAGCGTAGAGCTCCATTATACAAAAGTTTAAATACACAAATTATGTAAAAAGAGCAGGCATACTTTTTAATAAACATGATACATCCCTGGTTGGGTAGATTGTTTTTTACTGTGCCCAGCATGTACACACTGCATTCACACCTGGCAGAGATCCAGTCACAGTGTGGGCCACAACTTCCAATAACAGGAAACAGAAAACAATCTACACTTTAATGGCCTTTAGCACCTCTGTGAATGACATTTGAAACAAAAACCATCTTTGTTTTCTTTGATGAAATAGGAGAAATGGCACTGCTTTTTTCCTCTTTCCCCGTATTATTAAATAAATACATGCTGCCGCTGTAAACTGTGCTACATGCAGCACAGTGTCTTTACATTTACTGTAAGATGGGACGTTCCTTTACCTCCCTCCGCGTTGTCTCGTTCACTCACTCACTGATTAGTACTGTACAAGCCACGTGCACACCAGTCAGACATTTATTTCCTGTCAGGTATCCAGCTGTGACTACCAGGGACCCAGGAGTCAGTGAAGTGACGATAAGAAGGGCAGAATGAGAAAAGAGATACTGTTAGAAAACTTTGGTTGTTATTGTCTGTCTGTGTGTTTGAGCAAGTATATGTGCTTCTGCATGTTTTTGTGACCGTTGGATGTGAGCCACCGTGCGTGTCTGTGTGTGTATCTGTGCCCACATTGTGTCAACTTGGCAAACTGCCTCCACAGATTTGCTTTTTTTGGTGGCTTAGGAAAATCCTCTGTCTATTTATTCATGTGTGTGTTCAATAAAGCTTCATACCTGAATGATCTGGCCCTGTAACAGCCTCCTGTGCCGGTTACCTCTGGCTGCACACAAACACACGTGCTCCCATAGAGGAAATGTATCTTTTGATAACTGGAAAACAAAGTTTATGCGGAGAATTTTGAGGGGATCAAAGTCAATTCATTTCCTGTAAATTATTTATAAAATCACGATGAAGTATCAGTACTCAGTCATTCATGGTCTCCGGAGCCTCCCTTGCAAATCACTCTCATAATAAATCCAATGTGATTTGAATTTTTGATCACTGGAGACGTTAGCTATGCTGTAGTGAACATATCTGGCTGAACACAGTATCAGTGCCTGCTAATGTGAGATACTGCCACCAAGCGGTCTGTAACTCTTACAGTGCAAAGATGAACAAATAGTTTCTAAACAGCCTTTTTTTTATAGTCACTGGTATTCTCCATAGTTTTCCTTTGGGTTTGGGAGGAACTCTAGAGCAGAGACTAGACATCTGAACTCCCTCTGACATAAAAAGACACATTTCTAGCTATACTGTTTTAACTGTTATGGCATTTCTGCTTCATTTGAAATCCCACAGGGAAGGCAACAGAAAATGTGGGAAGAGGCAGAGGACAACACGCAGCCAAGGTCAAAGCCCAGACTCAAATCTAGGAGCCATACGCACACATCAACAGTATGTTGCAACCTCAAACTCCAAGCCTTCAAGATGCCACACAAACATAGTTACCACTCTTTGTGCTTTCTGTCTTATTGTATGATCATTTAGTTTCCCCTTAAGCTACAGTGTTAATACTTTTCTTCTTTAATTTATCTATCTGGTTTATTTTGTCTAGCTGTGTCAGTTATTGACCAGAGAACCCAAATGCACATACAAACAGATGCAGTGAAGAGGTTGAAAAAAGTGAAAAAGGCTGACAGACCAGTAGGCAGGAACAAAACCAGTAACAGACAAGGTGGCACCAATGAGAATCCACAGTCTGAACGATGAAACATAAAACAATCTGGCAGGGCACAGGTGGAAAAGGCTGGCATGAGGAAACTGGAAACAGGTGTGTGTGTGTGTGTAGGCGGGGAAGGTCAGGGTGACTTGGAATGGAGGGGAGGGGAAGTTCAAGGGAATGTGGCGACCTGAGGAGGTATGGCAACACACAGGGTCCACATGGCCAAAATAAAGAACCGAGACTGAATCCACTGCAGAAGTAACTATACATGTCTAACTGGAAGCAGAAACCACAGTGTCAGCACATTCATACAGGTGAACCTACACTGGTACTGCATTTCTGATAAGTGCTCTTGACTGGGTTTTGAGGTTTAAGTCAAAGATTACACTGACACAGCAGGAACAGGCAACTGCCACCACATCTGTGTGATGAATATAGAAGCACCTGGAGATATGTTCCTGTAGTCACTGTCGCCACTAGGTTCTGGCTTCAAAAAGCTCTGGAGTCAATGGAAAGACCTAAACCTTTCTCCAGAAATACAGTCACTACATTATCCCACATTCTCAGTGGATGGCTGTGCATCACAGTGGCATGAATCCAGTCTTTTATGACAAGATTTATTAGTTAAATCCTGGTGTGATTTGGGAGGCAGCACATAAATCAGCAGGGCTCCGCCAGCTGTGGTAGCTGCCAAATGATCCCAGATCTCAGTAACACCCAGGCCATGCCATGCTGGCCAATTATGTATCTTCAGGCTCCCAACAACGACAGAACTAGACAGCTTCAAAATAACAAATAGCTAACAATGCCCTGTGCATGCGTCCCAGCAACAGTGAGCAGATTCAGGTGCTGCTGACTGGCTAATGACACTGGCAGCTGTCTCCCGTTTGTCTGATGGAGGTTTATTAGTACCTTCAGCTATGCAGTGTGACCACAACAACACAAGAGCATCACACTGTTCTGTGGTAGAGGAAGGGATGCAAAGGTGAACTCGGGAAAGGACAGCTTAGACTGAGTTACAGGGATTATGGGATGTACATACGCAAACACACCCACTCACACATACACACACACACACCCCCCAAGTGTTAGGCAGACAGAGGCAAACAGGAGAGACGGGAAGTGTGTGTTAAAGAGCTCGCACACACACACACACACACGGGAGACAAACAGGCAGCAACACAAATGAAGAGAGACCTTCCATGTTCACACACTGGCAGAGACTATAAGAGACAGACAGACGGACGGACAGTCAGACTGATCACGTACCTTCCAGACAGCAGGTTCGCCAGAGGCCAGAGTGCGTCATCACCTCCTCGTTCTTGCGGCTCGTGTCGTTGTAATTTCTAGGTGCAGCCAGGGGCCGGAGGGAGTCCGGTTTGGGGACCGGCAATGGTCATGAGGCTGAAGGCGGCGAACGCGCCTACCGTTGTCACGAGCATCTGGACGCCGCGGTCACACATCAGCATCTTCATAAAGGCGGCTCCTGTTTGTCTTAATCTTTTGTCGCCTTTTTGTTTTTCAAATTCACCCTTTATTTCCTTCTATCCAGCCAGACTTGGAGGTTCAACAGACAGGCACTCAAAAAATGTAATAAAAACAGAGAAAGGTAAAATGTGGTGATTTTATAAGTATGGAGAGAAAAATGAACTTGGCTGTCTTGTCCGTTTAGTTGACAAGAGGCTCATGGCAAAGGGCGGAAGGGTGGGAGGACGGCACGTCACTTTCTCGCGCGTTCAGAATCGGTTTTCACCACCACAACCCTCATACCCACACGGTTTAACGACCACCGGTTGTCCCCGACTACCCGACACTGCCCTCAGTCAGTCAGAGCCACCACATTCTGCCTCTTCTTCTTCCCTTCCGTTTATTTGTCCCGGGGTTGAGCAGGGCGAGCTGCGTTAGAGCCGCGTTATCCAGCAGCACCCGGAGGTCTTCTCTTCTATCCCCCCCCACCCCCCCTTTT